TATCTCAAAGTTGCTGGGGGTCAGAAGTTTGTGAGTTGTCTAGCCAGGTGGCTCTGGCTCGAAATATCTAATGAGAGTACATCATTAAGACATCAGCTGGGGTTGCAGGATCTGCTTCCAACATGGCTCCCTCACATGACTGTTGGCAGGAGGCCTCAGTTTCTCACCATTTGGACTTTTTTTTTTTAAGATATTATTTATTTGAGAGAGAGAATGAGAGAGAGAGAGAGCACATGAGAGGGGGGAGGGTCAGAGGGAGAAGCAGACTCCCTGCAGAGCAGGGATCCCAATGCAGGACTCGATCCAGGGACTCCAGGATCATGACCCAAGCCGAAGGCAGTCGCTCAACCAACTGAGCCACTCAGGCGCCCCATTTGGACTTTTCAATAGGGCTGTTTTATGGAATGAATTTTGTCTCCCTGAAATTCATATGTTAAGACCCTAACCTCAAATGTAACTATATTTGGAAATAGGATGCTTAAGGAGGTAATTAAGGGGGGGCGCCTGGGTGGCTCAGTTGGTTAAACGACTGCCTTCAGCTGGGGTCACGATCCCGGGGTTCTGGAATCAAGCCCCACATTGGGCTTCCTGCTCAGTGGGGAGCCTGCTTCTCCCTCTCCCTCTGCTGCTCCCCCACTTGTGCTCTCTCACTCTCTCTGTCAAATAAATAAATAAAATCTTAAAAAAAATAAAATCTTAAAAAAAAAAAGAGGTAATTAAGGTTAAATGAAGTCATAAAGGTAGGTTCCCAATCCAAAAGGTCTGGTGTCCTTATAAGATGAGTAAGGAACACCAGAGCATTCTCTCCTCCTCCCCAACTCCCCAATCTTTCTCTGTGCACAGAGGAAAAGTTCATGTGAGAATACAGCAAGAAGGTGGCCACCTGCAAGCCAGGTTTCTCACTAGAAACTAACCCTTCCTGATACCTTGATCTGGGACCTGCAGTCTCCAGAACTATGAGAAAATAAAATTCTATTTAAGCCACCCAGTCTTATATTCTGTTGTGGCAGCACAAGCAGACTTAGTCTGCTTGAGCATCTTTACAACGTGGCAACTGGCTTTCCCCAGAGCAAGGGATGAAAGAGATTGAGAAAAAAAAAACAGCAGCAATGCCTTTTATGAATTAGTCTCAGAAATCATGTGGTATCACTTCCATCATGTTTTCAGTTTATTAGAATTGAGACACTGGGTCCAGCCTACTCAATGGGAGGGGTATGAAACTTAACCTCTCCAAAGAGGAGAGTGAATTTGTGGATTATTTTAAAACTATCACAAGAGGTTAAAAAGATCACATACAGTTGAGTACCTGAGGGCATTCCACAATCATTGACATAGGGGGATAGAAAATCACCATCTTAATAGATTGAGTTGTTGGAGGGCAAAGTTCTGGGCTACTAGAGTGGTGAGAGAATTGTGGGGAAGTCTCAGAAAGGAAAGTAATGTAGAAAGGATCCTTAAATTCTATGTATAAAATCCACCCAGCTCTTTGTCAGCTAAACTCCGTATGTATGTAGGAGACTCTAAGGAGTCTATAAAAAGTAGCCACTGGAAGGTGAAAGAACTGAACAGATCTGAGGTTCCAGCTGCTGATTATTTCAGTCGAAATAGTTTGGTATTTGAGCCCAGCCAAGTTAACTGCCTGAAAGTATAAAAATCAACACACTTACGAGGAACAACACAACAGAATCATGAATCTCTATCATCCTCAATGTCTAGTATACAATAACATTAGACAAACAAAAGGAAGATTGTATTGTATTGAAAATACAATCTATATTCAAAAGCAAAGCAATCAATAGAAACTGATTCTGAGATTGTCCAGATATTGAGGTTAACAAAGAATTTAAAACAACTATTGTAAATATCATTAAGGAATTAAAGAAAAATGAATTAACAGATGGAGAACCTTAGCAGAGAAATAGGGCAATAAAATACTCAAGTGGAAATTCTAGAACTGAGAAGACTAACAAGTGAAGTAAAAAAATTCACTGAATAGGCTTAACAACAAACCAGAGTCAGCAGAAGAGTCGGGGAACTTGAAGGCGCATCAGTAGAAAGTGCCCATTTGAAGAACAGAGAAAAAAACATTAAAGAAAAGTAAATAGAGATTTAATCAACAGAGGAGACATTATTAAATGGGTTAACATACATGTAACTGGAATCCTAGAAGGTGAAGAAAGAAGGCAGAAAAAATTGAAAGAAATAATGGACAAAATTGTTCACATTTTAAGAGAAGACAAAGAGGATTACTACTAGAAATAGGAAGATTTTATAATGATAGAAGGAGAAATTCATCTGGAAGATATTACAAATATAGCTGTGTATTTGCATAATTAGACTTTTAATACATAAAGCAAAATCTGACCAAATTCAAGGGATAAATAGACAAATCCACAGTCATAATTTGAGATTTTAACACCTCTCCTCTTAGTAATTGATAGAACAACTAGATATAAAAATTGCTAACAAAATAGAAGATTTGAACAAACCTGTCAACCATCCTTTGATTTTTAGAGAAAGCCCATCAGTGGCAGAATGCACACTTTTTTCAAGCATTCACAAAGATATATCATATACTGGGTTATAAAACAAGTCAGTACATTTCAAAAAATCAAAATCTTAACAAAGTATGTTCTCTAACCAAAGAGAATTAAATTGTAAATTATTAATAAGATATCTAGAAAAGTTCAAATTATTTAAAAATTAAGTAGCATCCTTCCAAATAATTAAATGTCAGTAAAAAATTACAAGAGTTAGAAATATTTTTAATTGGGTAATAATAAAGGTACAGCATACCAAAATTTGTAGGGTGGAGCTAAAGAATTTGTAAAGGGGAAATATATTGCTGTAAGTGGTTATATTAGAAAAGAAAGGTTCATAGTCAATGATCTAAGCTTCCACCTTAAAGTAGGAAAAAAAAAAGAGCAAAATACAATAGAGAGGACCTTGTATAAAATGTATCACCTGTCAAGAGTTCCCCTTTTACATTGCTGGGTATTGGGGTTTTGTGCCTTCTCACTTTTTGTTTTTTGATCAGTCTTGGTAAGTGTTTATAAGTGTTTATCAATTTCATTAATCTTTAAGAATCAATTTTTCTCATTGTTAATCTTATTATATATTCACTTTTCATTGCATCATTTTCTACTTTCAGTCTTTCTATCTTTGTTTTGATTTTTTTTTACCTTTTATCTTGATTTTCTGAAACTTTCCAACTTCCTTGGTTGGATTCTTAATAGTTAAATCTTTTTTATTTTATATAAATATCAAATTAAGTGTATAAAATTTCTTTTATGAATTGCTTTAGTTGAAGTGCACATATTTTTGATATGTGGCTTTATTGTTATCATTCAATTCCTAATGCTTTTTAATTCCCATTGTGATTTTTTTCTCTGACCCATGAATTATTTAGAAAATGTTTTCTTAAATTCCAAATATACAATGATCTACTAGTTATCATTTTCTTAATGATTTCTGTCTCTGGTCACCGTGCTCAAATCTGTGAGCCTTTATTCGATTTCTCAGCTTCTTGGCCTCTTGCAGAACTGGTAATGGATCCAAGGGGAATGGCCCCAAACATAGAACTCTTATCTAGTTTTCTTTCTCATCTAAGATGTTCTCCTGATAATTCTCTTCACTGCCTTGTTGATTCTCCAATGCTTTCAAATTTTATTAGATGTTCTCAGAAAAAGGCTTGATTCAAATTATCTAGTCTACCATTACCAAGTGCAGAACTCCTACTGATGCTGATTTTTTATTGTTGTGAGACATATAGAAAGAATGGGATTGGAAGATCTCATGGATAGAGAAACCGGTAAAAGACAAAGAGTGTATAGAAAAACAAAACTTTGGCCAAAGAATAGAATGAAGAGGAGAAGGTGATACTTGTATTTGTAATTTATTGTTGCATGACAAAGCACCACAAATTTGGTGGCTGGGGTCAGCCAAAGCTGGGGTCTCATTTGAAGGTACAACAGAGGAAGGATCCACTTCTAAGTTCACTTACATGGTATTTGGCAGAATTCAGTTCTTTTGGGGCTATTTGACTAAGGACCTCAATTTCTAGCTGATGGTGGGTTATGCACAGTCACATAGGGCACCTCACAACATGGCAGCTTGCTTTATCAAAGCCAGTCAGTGAGAAGAGTGTTGGCAAGATGGAGTTATAATATTATGAAGTATAATCAGAGAAATGGCATTTCTTCATCTTTGCCATGTTCTTTTGGTTAGAAGCATGTCACAATTCCCACCCATAATCAAGGAGAGGGGACTATGGAGGGATGTGAATACCAGAATGTGGAGATCATTCAAGGTTATCAAATACTTTGCTACAGTATTCCTTTATGTATGTAAAGTTCTCTCTTCTTCTGGAAATATTAGAGAAAATGGACAGCAGACTAGAAAGAAAAGAGTTAATATATTACAACTTCTGGAAAAGAAACAAATAAAATATCAAAGTCTAATTTACAAGGAAAACAAGGTTAACTTTCATAGAAAGAAACTATGATTAGACAGAATTTAAACTATGGAAAAATTCCTAGCCTCTTTTAACATTTAGCTTGGGAGTAAGAGCCCCTTGAAGCTATATAGTTGAAAAGAGAAACATGTTCACCTGGAGGTCTTAAATGCCTATGTAGAAAAACAAAACTGTATTTATGCATGATGTGAACTGGTTTTGCCTTCTATAGTCATCAGAGAATTTTCCATGATTTATGAGTTTACTTCATTAATATTTGATATATGTGTTCCAAATTGATTTTTTATTAAACATTTCAGGGTAACTTTGAGGGTAGAGGATGTATCCTATTTATTGAAGTATGTGGTACCGCTAGTGCTGGGAAATGAGAAAAAAGTAGGCCACTTTGTTCTAGTCTTTGAAACTAATTATCTAGTTGTCATAGAGCTCATGAACAATTGCATAATTAAAAATGCTATATATCAATTTCACATATACATATTAAAATGCACAATTATGTTAATAGATTTTCTATTTTTTTTAATAGGATCCAAATGAAGATACAGAATGGAATGAAATTTTAAGAGATTTTGGCATTCTTCCTCCAAAAGAAGAGCCAAAAGATGAAATTGAAGAAATGGTTTTACGTTTACAGAAAGAAGCAATGGGTACAGTTATGCATTTAGTGGGCTGGATGAAGGAGATAATGATAGTGAAAATGTATTTCATAAACTTAGAGGGAGAAAGGACATTAGAAATCCCACCCATACTTTTGAAATTAGGGTACTGACACGTAAAAATTTTAACTGATGTGTTGAATGTCACAAGCTAGTTAGTAACAGAGCTGAAATGTCCTGGTATCTAACCTAGTGAGACTTTTCTCTGCCATATTCCTCTAGCTCGTGATTACCTTCTATTTTGATCATGTAAATAGTATGTTTCATTTGTCAAGATTTTCAAGTACTTGGAAAATCTAAATTTATGGGGTCTAATTGATGTTCACATCTACTTTAAATGTAGCTTGGTAGTTCTGTGAACTTGGAGGGAAATTCACACTTTAAACAAACTTGAAGTGGTCAGCCACAGAATAGATTTATATATTGGAGAACCTGCAACATTAAAGATATTCTTTATCTCCATTTATCTATACATTGTTTTTTCTAGCCATGTGACTATAAAGTAAAAAATGTTTTTTAAATAATTCAATTATCTAAAATTTATTTTGTTTTAGTTAAACCATATGAAAAGATGACTCTTGCACAGTTGAAGGAAGCTGAAGATGAATTTGATGAAGAAGATATGAGAGCTATTGAAATATATAGGTACAGTGATTTATTTGGGCAACTTATGAGTTTTTGAATGGAGAAGTATAAGAATGAAACAAAAAAAGCCCTATTTTTTCCTATAGAATAGATTTTAAGAGAAAAAAACTAGTTTTTAAGAACATTTTAGTTTTTTTAAAAGATTTTATTCATTTACTTGAGAGGGAGAGAGAGAGAGAACACGAGCAGGGGCGGTCAGAGGAAGAGGGAGAAACAGACTCCCCAGTGTGCAGGGAGCCTGATGGTCCTTGATCCAAGGACCCCGGGATTATGACCCGAGCCAAAGGCAGATGCTTGACTGAGCCACGCAGGCACCCCAGGAACATTTTAGGTTTTTTTTTTTGAAGTAAGCTCTACACTCAACATGAGGCCTGAACTCACAACCCCAAGATCAAAAGTCACATGCTCGGGTGCCTGGGTGGCTCAGTTGGTTAAGCGACTGCCTTCGGCTCGGGTCATGATCCTGGAGTCCCTGGATCGAGTCCCGCATCGGGCTCCCTGCTCAGCAGGGAGTTTGCTTCTCCCTCTGACCCTCCCCCCTCTCATGTGCTCTCTCTCTCTCATTCTCTCTCTCTCAAATAAATAAATAAAATCTTTAAAAAAAAATAAAATAAAAAATAAAAACTTAAAAAAAAAAAGAAAGAGAAAAATCACCATCAAACACCAGAGTAATAATCTCCATGGGCCAGCCCTGCTGACAGATGCTGAAATGAGTGGGGAAGCTTAAATAGAAACAAGATATTTTCAAAATCTCAAAGTGTCTCCCTCAAAATATTTAGCAATGATAAGGGAGGAAATAGTAAGTCTACAGTGTAGAGTTTTGGCAGACCCCATTTTATGGAAGTGACCAAGGTTAACAACACCAATAATATATATTGACAGAAGTAACTCCTGATATGATGCACTGAGGAGGACACATTACCTATGTAGTATCCTTGTCAATAATTCATAATCTCTGTCAAATTATAAAAATACATGCAAGAAACCCAAATTTGAGAGACTTCCAAAAAACAACTGAGTAGGTTGACATCAAGAAAGATGGCAGAGGGGCACCTGGGTGGTTCAGTCGTTAAGCGTCTGCCTTGGGCTCAGGTCATGATCCTAGGGTTCTGGGATCGAGTCCCACATCGGGCTCCCTGCTCGGCAGGAAGCCTGCTTCTCCCCCTCCCACTCCCCCTGCTTGTGTTCCTGCTCTCGCTGTCTCTTTCTCTGTCAAATAAATAATTAAAATCTTAAAAAAAAAAGAAAAGAAAAGAAAGATGGCAGAGTAGAAAGCTCCAGGAATCTGTCTGTCCACCTAGATAACTATTGTACTGGCAGAAACTGTCTCAAGCAACAGCTTTGGAACTCTGGAGTCTATTTGAACACTTGCAGCTTCTAAGATAAAGTTTAGCTGGTATGTTGTCTTTAGTATTGGTTGATTTCAGTCCTCAGTGTGGTAATAGCTATCCATCCCTTATCCCCAGCCCCATGGTAGGCAACTGTTTGGACAGCAACCTGTGTTTCTGGCACAGCTTGCTGGAGCCAGAGTGGACAATAAAGACTTTGTCCTCAATATCATTTAATGTTCTGATTATGAATTGTTGCTTCTAAATGTGGAGGTATAGGCCCAAAGAGTGGTTGCCATGGTATCAACTTTCACTGGCTCAGGTGGCTTCCAGAGGATTTAAAGGAGCCACATCTGGTCATTTGTTTGTTTGTTTTTTGGACATTCAAGAACTACCAAATAAATGAGGGAATTTAGAAAGGCTTGGGAAAGATGAAAGCTCAGAAAAAGACCTGAGATGACCTTAATGCTTTTACCTCAGGCTGATCCCTGACACAGAGACACCATACAATAATAAAATAAATCATAGAGGAGGGGGTCTGATTTCTAGGGTTACCACATTATAAGAATCCATTGTTCTTTTCAACAAAAAAATCACAAGACATAAAAGAAACAGAAAAGTATGACCCATTCAAAGAACAAAATAAATTGATACAAAATATACCTGAGGAAGCCCAGATGTCAGACTTATTAGACAAAAACGTTAAGCCAACTAAGTTAAAGTTGCTTAAAGAGATAAAGGAAGACATGGACAAAGACAGGAAAGGATCATATGAACAAAGTGAGAATAGCAATAAAGAGATAGAAATTATAAAAAAGAATGAAAAAGATATTCTGAAACTAAAAAGTACGATAAAAATTGAAGTGAAATATATATGAGGGCTTCAAAAACAGATTTGAACAAGCTGAAGAAAAATTCAAATTTGAAGATAAGACAATTGAAATTATTGAGTCTGAGGAACAGAAGGTAAAAGAATGAAGAAAAGTGAACAGAACCTAATTGGCCTTATGATACACTAAGTGAGCTAACTAATATAGTGTAAGAATCTCAGCAGAAGAAAAGAGAAAGGAGCAGAGAGAATATTTGAAGAAATAATGTCTGAAAGCTTCCCAAATTTGAGAAGAGACATAAATCTGTAAATCCAAGATGCTCAATGAATTTCAGGTAGGATAAACTCAAAGAGAACCACACAAAGACACATCATAATCAACTATGAAAAAATAAAAACAGAAAGTTGAAATCAGTGAGAGAGAAACGACTTGTCACATACGAGGGACATTTAATAAAAGTGTCAGTCAATTTCTCATCAGAAATCTTGGAGGCCAGAAGGCAGCAAGTTGATATATTTTAAGTGCTGCAAAACAACAACAACAACACACACAACTGTCAACTGAGAATTATTCATTTGGCAAAACTGTGCTATAAGAATAAAGGAGAAATGAAGATATTCCTAGATAAATCTAAGTGAGTTTGTTACTACTAGAATTGCCCTAAAAAAATAGCTAAAGGGGTCCTTCATGCTGAAATTAAAGAGCACTAGACAGTGACTCAAAGCCTTCTGAAGAAGTAAGTAACATAGGTAAAAACTACATAAGTAAGTATAAAAGAATTACTCAACTTTGGTTCTTAACTCTATTTTTTTTACCTGTATGATTTAAAAGGCAAATATGTAAAACAACAATTATAAATTGATGTTAATGGATAGACAGTATATAACAATGTAGTCTGTAACAATAACAGTATAAATGGGGAAGGATGGAGGTGTATTCCAGTAGAGTGTTTGTGTGGTATTGAAACTAAGTTGGTATTATTCGAGGTAGGTCGTTAGAAGATATTAATTTTAATCCTTAAGGTAACCACTAAGAAAAAACTAAAAGAGTAAAAGAAAAGAAGCAAATTAAAATGGCACAGTATAAAAATCAACTCAACACAAAGAAACAGTGATGGGAGAATTAAGGGGAAAAAAGGGCGTAAGAAATGCAAAAAAGAGTTAAATGGCAGAAGTAAGTCTGAAAGAGGGATCTTCATGGGTGGGGGCAGCCTAATTCCTTATCTGGTCGTTTTGCTAGTAGCTATGTCATACAGGTGGTGATGTGTTTTCCAAGATGTGTATCTTTTGAAATGGATGCCTCAGCAATCAAAAGCTTAATGTCAGGCACTTACACTAAAATTAAGCTTCCTGTCAGGCACTTAACATTGCATAGTTTAAGTGTATTTTAAATTAATCCAATTGATCTCCAATTAAGAGCAGAAATTGGCAAAATGAATACAAAGAAACATTATCCATGTCCTGAAAACCAAAGATATCTTGAGGAAGAACAAAGTTGGAGGACTCAAACTTCCTGAACTTACTACAAAGCGACAGTAATCAAAACAATGTAGCAGTGACATAAGGATAGACACACAGACAAATAATAGAATAGAATAGAATAGAATAGAATAGAATAGAAAGCCTAGAAAGAAACCCTCACATATATAGTCAAATGATTTTCAACAAGGTGCCAAGACCATTCGATCTTTTCAACAAATGATACTGGGAAAACTGGATTTCTAGACGTAGAAGAATAAAGTTGGACTTCTACCTCATATCATAAACAAAAAATAAAGTGGATGAAAGACCTAAATGTAAGAATTAAAACTATAAAACTCCTTGAAGAAAACATGGAGGGGGAGTAATGTCCATGGCATTGGATTTGGCAATGATTTCTTGGAAATGACACCAAAAGCACAGGCAACAAAAGAAAAAATAGATAAACTGGACTTTATCAAAATTGAAAACTTTTGTGCAAAGGACTCTGTCAAGAGAGTGAAAAGATAACCCCCAGAATGGGAGAAAATATTTGCAAATTATATATATAATATGGGATTACTAACCAGAATATATAAAGAATTCCTAGAACTCAACAATAAAAGACAACCCAATATAAAAACATGCAAAGGACTTAAATAGACATTTCTCCAAAGCAGGTATACAAATGGAAAATAAGTACATGAAAAGATGATCAACTTAATTAGTCATTAGGGAAATGCAAATCAAAACCATGAGATTCCACTTAATTCTCACTAGGGTAGTTATAATAAAGAAGACAGACAATAAGAGTTGGTGAGCATGTGGAGAAATTGGAACCCTCAGACATTGCTGGTGGGAATGTAAAATGGTTCACTGCTTTGAAAAACAGTCTGGGGGCGCCTGGGTGGCTCAGTCGTTAAGCGTCTGCCTTCGGCTCAGGTCATGATCCCAGGGTCCTGGGATCAAGCCCCACATTGGGCTCCCTGCTCAGCGGGAAGCCTGCTTCTCCCTCTCCCACTCCCCCTGCTTGTGTTCCTTCTCTCGCTGTGTCTCTCTCTGTCAAATAAATAATTAAAATCTTAAAAAAAAAACAACAACAAAAATAGTCTGGAATTTCCTCAAATGTTAAACATAGAATTACCACATGATCCAGAAATTACTCTGAGATAGATATGTATACAAAACATGTACATGTACATGAATGTTCATAGCAGCATTATTTATAATAGCCAAAAAGTACAAAGAACGTGAATGTCCATCAACTAACTGGGTAGTAGATAAACAAAGTGTGGTGTATCGGTACAATGGAATTTTATTCAGCCATGTAAAGAATTGTGGTACTAATACATGCTACAACATGATTGAACCTTGAAAATACTATG